GGTCCACTAATGTACAAGCACCTTGTTCACAGGGACTCACAAAGACAGGTTACAAAATTACAGAAAAACAACACGTACAGAAAGCTGTTAAAAAATATAGTTAAAAATAAAAGGCAGTCACTGGGCCCATTTAACCCATTTGGTAGACAATGCTGGTTTTGTTTTGGTAGTTTTCATAGTTAGATTAGGTAGTTATGTGCTGTTAAATTGCTTTTAAAATATTAAATTATCATAGATTTTTATTCTTACAAAAGCATCAAGAATTAAAAAAACAAACTACTATTTAACTAAAGCCCGTTTTTATTGCAGGGATGTTGGACTTCAATATGGCTGCGGCACAAAATTTAATAAATACATGTGGTGTCTTATTCAAGGTGACACTGCAGCAAATACAGTATTTTAGAGGTAGGTGTGTGCAGTTCTCATTACCCCTGGGCTTGTAGAAGGGTGCAGCAGTTGTTGAGTCAGGTTGATTAGCAACTGGTAATGTCAAACTTGAATTAAAACCAAATTCAATTGCCAAATTTTAAATTTTAAACTAGTAAAATAAATACAGCAATTATTTCTCTCCAGTCCATGGGTAAGGCCAAGGGGAGGCCTATTCTGTGTCTTCCTTCATAAGGAGTTTCCGGTGTTTTGTTTTCTCTGCAATGGAACCACCAAGATATTGTAGTAATCAGTGTACCCGAAAAACTTATAACGAGTGATCTCCGGGACATAGTGAAGTACAGCCCTTTGGGTTTCAAGCCAACAAAGCTGAAAATACAAGCTGATATTTCTGTAGTCACACGGTCTTTTGAGAGAAGAATCAGGAGTACCTGTAGCATTGCTACCCACTATTAAATTAAAAGCAGAGAGTAACAGTAGCACACTCCCAGGGTAGGCAACCATGGTCCACAAGTGCCAGATTCCTGCTGGTTCCTTTCAATAAGCACATTGACTAAGGTGGAAAACACAACTGATCCGACCTCTTGTCCACTTAATTAAGTTCAATTAAGCCATTAAGATCTGAGGTGGATGAAACCCAGAAACGCACGCAGTACTCCAGGGCCAGAGGTGCCTGTTACCTCTTTTCTATAGTGTTTCCAGGGCAGACTCTGCGCAGAGATGCGCATCCGGGGCAGACTCTCCGTAGAGAACATAGCCTTTGCCGGGAGGCACGCCTGCTTTCAGTGCTTCTGGCCAGCTCTGAGTTTCACAGAACGTCAACAGGATATCAAACACTGCGGAGTAAAACACATATCCAAAGAGTTAATTCCAGTAACAAGTGGAAACAGCACCTGGACCAGGCAGCCAAGTCCCACAACAGGATTGTTTTCAACCCATGATATTGTTGCATTCCACTCAGATACATTCTATCACAGAGGACAGTCACCACCCCGGGCCATGAGCTCTTCACCCCACTGCCCTCAGGCAAGAGATACAAGAGCATACGGACACTTACCACCAGATTCCTCAATAGCTTCTACCCACAAGCAGTGCGATTGGCGAACACATTTAGCCATGCCCCTCGGACCACACCTACACCATCTACCTCATTATGATTTCTTATTTATTTATTGCACATCTCCAGTCATGTTTACACGTCTGCATTGTTAACATTCAAACTGTTTACTTGTACATTGTCTACTGTTTGTTTGTATATTGTCGTGATGCACTGTCTGCACTTTGTGTTTTTTACACTTGTTTTAACAATCGAGTGACCTTCTGTAAGAATTCCATTGTACCAGTACATGTACCAATTACATATGGCAATAAAGTTCAAGTTCAGACACCATATCCAGTGACGGATTTTCCTTATCATTTGTCATTTTTTTTGCATTAAATAATCTTTTGTAACCCAAATGGTAATACAGTTAGATGAAGGGCACTGCTGTTTATTCTGAAGAAATCTGCTGGGACGATTCTGTCAATGTTCTCGAAGATACTGAATACTTCTATCAGGCCCCCTGTAGTCTTCTCTGTTCAAGACTGAAAAGCTTTTGCTCCTTCCTCTCACTGCAGGACTCCTCTCTTAAAACCACGAGTTTTGTATCTGGGGTCTCTTACTCTCTTCACCCCAATATAACTAATTGTCCCCAAAATAAATAAAAAAATAATTTCACTGTACATTTTTTTAAAATAAACTTTAGGAAAAAAAAAACAAAGGTCACCTCTGCTTTATTTCACAAAGGAATTCTCAAACCAGCAATGGCTTTTCACCACTCTTGTCTATGGGAAATTGCAATCAGGTTTATAACATGATAACAGTAAGGTAATACGATTACTTTTCTTTAATACCGAAACAACAAATGGTGCAAAAGCCAGTGTCACTCAGCTGCATACTGGATTAAATTTGCCATGCAGTTTTCTGAATGAGAAACAAAAACAATCCTTCCTGTGATTTTCGAGTGCAGTTTAGTCATCACTGTTATTCACAAGAGAAGCACAGCAAACCAATTTGCTCACCTTGATTGATTGCAAGTATCTTTGAGTGGAAGTTCTTTGCATTTGTTTTTTTGACCATGTACTCCTGGATTGGTAGCCTGGCTGTGCACACACAGCTGTCCATTGCCTTCTGGTATGTTATCTTCTAAAAGAAACATAATAAAGCATTTTTTGGCTGGTATGGGGATGGCGATGCAAATTATTCCAGAATATGATGTTGTTCCACTATATCATTAGAAATCGTTTTAGAAAGCCACTTGTTCCTAGTACGTGTTGCAGGAATCTGTTGTCAAAAACAACTTACCTTCTGAATACTTTCATCCACCAAACCCCCCAGGATGTACACCTTGTCAGGATCTACATGTTCCAGAGCTAAAAAGCCAACAGCAGCGCAATGAATGTACTAGCATCATGAGACAAAAATGCAATAACACATGCCTTCTGGCTTGGCTGGCTAGCCTGCCACAGTATGGTGGTATTGAAATTAGAAAAAGGACAATTGTTACAAAACTTTCTAATCTTTTTAAAATTAGCATCTGTAGGAACATGGACAATGGACATAACTGTATTTAAAAAAGAGATCACATTAAAGAGAGGGAAAACTAGGAATTTGTCACTAAACTTTGCAGGACCACTGACTTTAATATCTTCTGTCACCTTTGTCCCTAACATGAAAGCACCACCATTTTTGTTTCTTAATCACATGAGCAGGTTACCTAGAGCACACCACCATGGTTAGTCTCCAAACGTCTCTAGTCCAAACTATGGTCTTACCATGTTCTGAGTCAGGAGTCAGGTATATTACACTATCCAAAGGGAACAAATCCAGCCAGCTGTCTTCTGTTACATCCATCTAAATACAGATAAGTAAATCATTAAAGATTACCTCCTTACTACTAATAAAATACAGTGCCAGCCTTTGTGATTAATGGCCATATTCTAAAGCAGCTTCATCTTTATCTGTGCGATTATATACTATATTTATAACCGTCAAAGAACTTAAACCTCTAAACTACTGACAGAATAAAGTTGCATGGGAATTAAGCATGATATTGACAGAAAAAGAGACATGATGTACTTTTACATTCATGTATTCCAATAAAGAGAGTGTCCCTTTCCGAACTCAAATAGCACAAGGATAGTTAAATACAAAGAAGCATTAAGAGACACATAATTAACAAGGTTGTCTATTACTGGACAAAATATTAAGTTTGTGCTTATACATTCAAAATGCAATTCATTCTACAGAAGCAGTATGCTGTAGACGATATCATTTTGGAAATAAAGACTTAAATATTACAATGTGTAATGACAGTTTGAGATGTGGACTTACTATATATACTATAACGATCATCAAAAGAAATCACACACTTCACAACATTATCAGGAATAAACCCTGATAATATTCCAGGAACAATAACATTAAAATTAATTATGTGGATATGTCAAACAAGTAGCACATGTGACCCCTGTTTGAAATACACACTGTTCATCTGCCACACACACTTTGCACCAAGATGAAGGTGTCTTAGAGAACTCTCTCCAGTTCTTCTCATAGGGACTGGACAAACACGCCCACTGTTTTCCAAGCTCTAGCAGGTCTCCCCACAAATACTCAATGGAGCTCAAGTCTGGCGAGTAGGATAGCTATTGCAACACAGCTGTCACATTCTCATCTCAGAAGAAAGCCAGACCGCATGAAGAGGTTTGTTGTTCCGCTGGGATGTTGTCATTTCAAGGTGAGCCTGCAGTAAGGGCAGCGAATGAGGTCCCAGAACTTGAGCAATGTAATCTTATGCAGTCAGATTGCAATAAATCACTAAAATATTGAGTTCTATAGTGAGTGGAACTCCTCCCAAGACCTTCACACTGGGATTTCCTCACATAATCATTCTAAATATATAGAGAGAGAGGGTGATAAGTGTCTTGTGATGCCCATTGTAATAGTACCTGGAGGTCCAATATCAGTACTGGAGGTACCAGTATGTCTGCAGGACTTCATTCCACCTCAACTTTTAATAGCCTGAATCAGCTCATTACTGGCGTAAATGCCTCTCAGCTCTTCAGGCCCTATGGCTTTAAAGAGAGCTAGAGACCAGAAGACACACTGGCCCACAAGGACCCGAGCTGGAGCACACAGCAGTAATCAATGAAGAATGTCCCAGCCACAGACATGTGTGACATATTTGCTTTGCACAGAACGCATGCTCCAGGGGTCTTGCTGCAGAGGCACCTACCACATAGTTCAAAAACCCATCATTCTTTCGCAGGCACTCCTTGTACAGCAGGCCGTCTTCTCGGAGGCCTGTCAAGTATAAGTGGAAGGGATTGGCAGCTTTTCTGTTGGAGCCATACAGCCTCCTTATTTGGCCAGCTAGACGACTTATTTCCTGAAAAGAAAACAGAAAAACCTTCTTTATTCATGTATCATATTTGTAATAGCAACCGAGCAAAAGCTACTTTTGCCAGCAACATTGTATATGTGCAAATGTTTTGAAAACTGTACTTTTACTGAACCAAACCAAGCCATGTTAGAGTACAAATTGTCTGAACATCCTGCATGATGCAGAAGCAGTAAGGATAATATGGAGTTTAAAAGGGAAATCCTCAAGGACAAAAAATAACAATAGTCCAAAAAATAACTTAATGTAATAATTTTCATGAATCAGACAGATATGAGCTGCCATCGGGGACAATCAAACACATAACATACAGATTTGTTTAAAAACATGTATAGATAACAGATTAAAGGCTTTTGTACCCTTAGTAAAAAACTGAATTAAGACGAAATACAGGGAACTGCCAAAATAAAGTGTTTTGTTGATAGTGGTGGAAGACGCTGTCTCAGGCACCATTCCAGAATTGCCGATAAGTGTTCAACTGGGTTGAGATCTGGGGACTGGAAGGGCCTTGGCTTATTCTTTACATAGTTTTCACACTTACTGAACCATTCAGTGATCACTCGTGCTCTACAGATGGGAACATCGTCGTCCTGGAGTATTCCACTATCTTCTATCAGGATAGAAATGCTTCACCATAGGATGAATGTGATCACTCAGAATGGCTTTGTATTTATTGGTATTTGTTTTGCCCTCTAAGGGGTTGGGTGGGCCTAATCCATGTGAAGAAAATGCATCCCACACAGCTGTCAGAACCCTTCACCGTGGAAAACAAGCACTTGAACCTGTAGGCTTCTTTTGCCATGCACCACATGTGGACTCATCTGCTTGGTGAGAACAGGGTGAAGGATGACTCATGATCATGTGACTTCTTTCCACTGCTCAGTAGACCACCGCCCGTGTTCTTTGCACCACTTTTACTTGCAAAAGTGCTGTTTTAGGTGTAAATTGGGGTAAAGGCACTGCAACCCAACCACAGTATCCCTCTCTGTGAAGACCTTGATGTACTGTACTTGATGAAACTCCCTGCTCAACTGATTCAGAGCTGCACATCTGCTTTGACCTGCATCTAAAACCAATGCACTGGCATTAGGGTCAAGGAGTATGTGCTTTCGTCCACAGTTGCCCCTAGCTGATGACGTTGTTCCCTCAAGACTTCCATGCCATCACCTAAGTTCCACTGTTCCTCGTGAAACATCAGCAAGTTGAGTAGTCTTCACCACTGAAGCTCCTGCCAAACCTCTCTCAAAGTCACTGAGGTCTTTTCTTCTGGCCATGGTAGTCAAAATAATGGGCAACTGAGCCTGCCCAGCATTTCCATACATGATCCTGAGCATTATGAAATGTAAACTTCTTTATTAACTCAGGAACCACACTTGTATGGAATCACCTGCTTTCAATACAAGTTGTATCCCTTTATTTATTCAAGTGTTTCCTTTATTTTGGCAATCAACCTGTATTTGTGTGGCTTATCTGCTAATTCAGCATAGTGGCTTAATTAGAAATTGTACACATTTTGTACACATTAAAAATAAGATGCCTTTCTTGAAGCCACACCAGACAGTTTCTAACTGGTCTTTCAAGTCTATACTGGATATCTACATGGACTTTGAGTAGTTAGATGTGTATTTTAATCCTGCAATTTATTAACTTGTAAATGACCGCATGTCAAAACCCACCTTGTGAGACATGAGGTCTGTCATGCTCAAATCAATGCAGAGTCTGGGGCCAACAGTTTTGGCCTCAATCAGGCGTTCTTTGGTGATCGCTTTTACAACACGCTTGCTGTGCTGAGAGCTCTGCAGCATATTGCCTGCAATACAAATGCAAGCCACATGTGACAACTAAACCACACATTACTTCAAATTCCCATTGGGCTTTGTGATTTTATTTAGAAAAGTTTCATTTAAATAAACAAAAATATTTTCATGGCTTTGGAAAGCGTAAAAATAGATATATTTTAACTGTTTGCGGAACATTCTCATAGCATTACATGGAGAACTTAGGTTAAGTTAAACAAATGGAATGTGTTGCCAGGCACCCACCAAAGGAATATGTGCGATTTCAGCATTACCTCTCGAATCAGTCCTATCACATCTTTCTGCCATTAAGTGACACTATGTACCTGACTCCTCAATGCGTTTCAGCTTCCTTCTCTGTTTCTCTTCTCTCCTCTTGCCTTTCTTTGCAGCCAGTGTCTTCTCCCAGTTCTTCTGCTTCCTCAAAACATTTCTCTGTGAAAAGTAACAAACAAACAAACCTACAATACATGCATGTACATAGGGGATCATCTTCCAGAATGCAACACGACCTCAAAATACATAGGAGTGAAAACCTCATGATTTTGTGTTCATCTAATATACTCCTATTAGGGATGAGCACTGGTGTGTTAAATATAGAGCTTTGCAGCACTATAATACACACATCAGTAAAGATTTTACATAAAAAGACAGTAGTATATGGTGCTTTTACAATTTGCCATTTCCTTTTAACTGGATTTGCCCGTGGATACAAGGATAGCATCACTGCATTTGAAGAAAGACTATATAATCTTTAATGGCTCACTTAAAGACAGTACCACCCACCATGGGTCTGTATGTTTAAACTAGAGGGAAGAGAGACATCTAATGGATAAGAAGTGTTCCTGCAGTATATAGCTTTTCCCAGGTGCCAACTTGAGCTGTTACCTGGAAAGAGCAGACCCAGGGCTTGGCACAGATGCTTCTGTATAGCACATTCCCGATGACCAGATCCTCTTCTTATGAAATATAACTTATAACTGAGGGCAGTTCAACAGGGGGGTATAAAAGGAAAATAAAATGTATGTCCCCTAGCATCTGCCAATTACAAACATAAATGTCCCATGTGAAAATGGATTTGTTTAACTAGCTTTTATTTAGAAAATATGTCAATACAGTTAAATTTCTATTTATGTCAGAGAACAGGACTGATTTATGGTCTTACGGTTTTGTTGTGTAAGGACAGGTCAAGGGAGCTTAACCTCAACAGTTACAACAGAGGAGACTGAGAGAAGATTTGATTCAAGTATATAAGATCCTGAGTACAGCTAGTGCTTACCCAGGAATCTATTTTATGTGCCCGATGAAGGTCAATTACAGTCAACTGCAATCCAAAAGAACTGGCTTCACCTACAATTATCTAAAGATATGCTGACTTTATTGGCCCTGTGGTCAGATATTGAAGGCACTGTGGCTAAGGATCTGCGCCTGTGGCTGGAAGGTTGCCGGTTCAAATACCACAGCCGGCAGAGGAATCCTACTCCATTGGGCCCCTGAGCAAGGCCCTTAACCCCAACTGCTCCAGGGGTGCTGTATAAATGGCTGACCTCACGCTCTGACCCCAAGCTTCTCTCTCCCCATCTGTGTGCCAGTGTGTCTCATGGAGAGCAAGCTGGGGTATGGGAAAAGAAAAATTCCTAATGCAAAAAATTGTATATGGCCAATAAAGTGATCTCTTAACTTTCTTTTTTTTTTTAAATAAGAAGAAACTAGATTAAAGACCTGCAATGGAATGGGATAGGTGTGCAAGGCCAAAGGTTGCCTTCCCCTGCTTTTCGCACCTCAAAATTAAAATCTGTGCATCCACCCAAGCTTAGGAGTTTTGGGAAGGACCATCACCATGCAAATGAAAGCGTTCAGTCGCACCACAAAATGAAAATGCAAGATACATTACTTACCCTCACCTCTGCACCCTTTTTAAAAGTGTTTCAGAATCATGTTTCTTTGATCCCAGAGCATTAAAGTTAACGTACAGCAGCTGTGAGCTCTTAGAAATCTAATCATGGTACTCACAGAGCACGAGCTGTCTTGGCTATCAGTCCTGGGAATCTTCAGCGTCTCGCTGTCGACGTCAATACGCAGCAGCTCAAACATTTCCTGGGTTGACGAAGACTCTTCGCCGCAAATGTGGGGGTCCTCGCTCTTGTGTTGGCCTTTCGACATTCCGCAGCTCAAGGAGTGCTCGGATTTCTCAGTTTCACGTTCAACCATGGTTCCTTTCATTAAAATGCGCCCTGTGGATAACATATAGTTAGGTTACGTGTTAAACGTAAAAATAGTACAACTACACTAAGTATCCGCGTTAATGATGAACGTCAAAACTGCTGACGAAAAAGGCACATTTAATGACATCTACAAAATAAAGTCACGCGTTACACAGTGACACAAAATGATCTGTTTTATACATGTCTTATTCAGTTTTTAAATATTATGATGTGCCTACTTACGATGATCTACACCTACTCATCAGACAAAACTAAATCAAAATTCATAACCAATTGGAACTGTGACATTATGACATGGGTCAGCCCTATCCAACTATGGTTTGAACATATCAAAGATATATCTAATAGGACATCGCCCAGGAAAAACAAGAAAGTTTGAAATGAAACTGAGCGTCTTCTTGTGTCGAATCTGGGTGTCTCCAGTTTTTTACCAGTGTTCTTAATGTTGTATTTGTTCAAAATACTGAAAAAAGATAAATTAACCATGGTACTGGTACATGCATTAAGTTCGTAAAACAAGATATTTCATTATTAAACTATACGTACCTCTTTACTAAATCACACTTCTCCGTCCGACTAAACTGACAGTTCTATTCAAATCTAAACTCTAAAACCTCGTGTCCGCCCATAGGAGTTGTTGTTGTGGCGCTTGTAATAGACGTCACCGTATTTCAAGTTGTCGATTGGTCGAACTCTGGTGACGCAGAATTCCGCAGTTTTCAGAATCTGTGCATAACGTCGTTTTTGTGGCGTCGCATTTCCAGACTTCTGTGCAGAATCTGCAGACCCGAAGCGACGTAAGAGTTATTGTGGGGTGGCTTGATTTCAAATAAATATATAATACATACCCCAAAAAACAGTGTGAAGAAATTCAACATTATATCACAATAAGCTAATATTTTTGAGCGTCATCAACACTGTCAGTTATCAACTGTGTTCTAAACAAAATGTGAAATAAATGTATTTGTATGGGGATGTCAGATTTCAGACTCCAAATTAAGATTTTGTCTCTCAGATCAGTTTTAGATTAAGAAAAAATAGTAAATACCTAAGTGGAATAGTTAAAATAGTAAATACCACGACTTCGTAATTATTTCATAATCTAAATGTGCGCGGATAAACTTAATGAAGCTTAATGTAATGTAAAACTGGGCCTTAATTAGGGACCCCCGAGTGTAATCTACGCATTTTTTAACAAAATAAGTGAATGATTGCCTGAGGTTAGTACAAAGTTTCTATGTATGTTGCCAGATGCTCCAAAAGATGGCGCTCTTCAGTTACTACAGGACAGTTTAAAAACGGAGATAGCTTTTTCTGTTTTGTTTCGACTTTTGTTTCGAGTTGTTGCATTTTTCCGGCAAAATATTGATAAAACATTATTTATTATTTAAATGCAAGCATCACTATCAGTATGACCAAAGAAAATGAAAAAAAAACAGATTAAAAACGTTTAATTACTTCTACTGCAATTTCCATTATAAATCAAATCAGTAATTATTACAGATATGGTATTGCATCAAAATAAAGCCTGTCCAAAAGCTCACAAGAATAACATGCATTTAAAACAAAAAATCCAAAGTCTAAAACAAAACAAATCTCAAATTTTACTAGAACTAAAATAACTAATCCTGTAATTTATGAACGGTTACTTGTCTTAGAAATATAGGCATTTTTATGTTAAGGTCTTAATATATTATCAGTGCAAAAGCAAGGCTCTCCTGTTCATGCTATGTGTGTTGTGGTTATATGTGTTTCTCCACTGTTCTCAGTTTATCTAGCATACCCATTTATTCAAGGCAACTTAAATAAAAGAATCACAGCTTTACAATGACGTATCACAGTTTCAGGCATTTGTCATGTAAATAAAGATAATGTGGTGATCTGCCTCCGCAGATGAACTGCAAAGGTTAATTCCATGTAGAACAGAGATGAAATCTTTGTAGAACACAGTTAATTCCATGCTAAAAAGTCCGAAAGAAAGAAGATAGGAGCCTTCTTCGGGTGTACTGTATGTGGGGATGAGGGATAGAATATGGGGAACTGAATATAAGGTTTAGGAAAGAAAAAGAAATAAAATGTGAAAATGGGTAGAAGGAAGTGAGAGAGGAGGTCCCAAGAGAGAATCTGGGAGACTCTGGAAGCTTTTTTCCAGACAAACAATAATCTCACATGCGCAGATTTCTTCTCCACAGTAAGCATAACGTCTTTATCACCTGCAAATAAATATTCAGAAGAATTTAGACGCATAACCCGTCGGGCCATTTCATAGCGACTTAGAGGGTATCATGGTTGACCAGCAATTGAATTTCTAACATTGGGGAAAACACGAAGAAGATTGGCTGACTGTTTCAGGGAACGTATCAGAGCACTGAGGATCAAAGATTGTTATAATATTGTTATATTAGGTTCACGCTTTCCCCAAGATATCCTTGATAAAATACATTCCTTCTAAATCTCTTCAATAATGTGCAGATTTCTGCCTTCAACACCTCTATTTGAATTTGTCTCCTCGTTGGACCTATTTTCTGACCCCCAAACCTCATTTCACTCTTTCTTTTGCTCACCTGATATATCCGTGCTCTCTCCCACATTCCTCCACACGCCCGAGGAAGGCCCCACAGCTGAAATGTGTTATTTTCGGTTCTATTACATTTCTGTATTAACACCTGCTTGTTCCTTACAGGATTTTTACAACACCATCAGTTTTTAATGGAATATATAACAGGTTATTCCAATGATATAAACAATATAAGGTAAAACAACAAGTTATACTGTTGAAGAAGAACAATATAATTAGGCAAAGAGTAAAACAATACAATTGTGGCTTAAGAACAGTTTTGAATTACAGTAGCTATGAAGTGGTTCAGTGCTCATGACTAATGATAGTTTAACAGGATCGGGTGGGAGAGAAGGGACCGATGTTGGCAGGAGTTTCAGTCATGGAAGGATCTAGAATCTTTTCAAGAAAAAGCTTGAACAGTGTCCTGCTTGTTTAGGCTATCACAGTGTTGTTCATCTGAACTGATTTTTCTAATTCGGGTACAATACATGACATTAATATGGAATATATTAGCAGCAGTATACATGAGAAGGGTAACAACTGTAATCTTTTTTTTGCTTCTTAAAAATAATAATCTAGAACTATTTTCTAGAAACACACAACATTGCTGTCTTCATTGTGCGGCTATACAAAATAATAACACTTAATAATAACTTCCCCATTGTGTAAAAAAATAACTTGTTTAGAGTAGGAAATGTTTTCCAGCTGGAAATATGTTCTACATAACAGTTAAAGAGGTTTTATAGATTGCATTGAGATGTCTGAAACCCTTGTTTAGAGATGTACAGTAATTGGAAAGTTTTCCTCTTGTATGATAACGTTCAGTTCAAATACAGTATAATACGATATTAACTTATTAAATAAACCTTATTTTATATCGATGAAATCACATTTTTATTGCAAAATTATTATTTCAGTACAACGTTGTTGTGTCCTTGATCTTTGTTGCCTAACCTGACTGTAAACTATTTTTTTGTCTGTGGGTGCACTTTCTGATTTGTTCTCTACAAAGCCATCGGATTACTCATCGCATTGAGTAAGAAAGTAAAAACTGAGATCTATTGACCACCTGTTTCAGACTGATAACGATTCCCTGAACTGAACTTTATGTAGAACATAAAATAAAATACAGGGCGCTCATGAAATATCATGTTTTTTTCTTACAATATAAGAAAATGCACATAGTTATTCCTTGCTGGCGTATTTGTACACTGAGCAATTCAACTGTTACGACTAATCAGAAGTATATTCTATATTTTTCTGTGGCGTTAATATTTCACAAACGCACAGAGACTGCAACAGCCCTTATCGCCTGCGTAGATTTCCCAGACGTGCTTATTAAGCCAAGGTTCCCTATGACGCTGTTCGCTGTGTAACTTCTGAAACACGGTTACCTCATGCGATACACAACACCGAGGAGACGGGGTCCGCTGGGATCGACTGAGTCAAGTCACCTGCCTCGCGTCTGATCTGTGTGAATTGCCTGCAGCGTCCCGGGACTTGCAGGGATCGTGGGGCAGGCTGTAGCGACACTTTGTTTCAGAACCGTAACTCTTCTGGCTTTAACTTCTTTGGCGTTTTAACGTCCTGACCTACTGTGCAGTAGGTGTTGGATTAGGTCGGTTGCAAACGTGGATCTGTCGGCTGGCGCTGCTTGTATCGGAGCACAATCACACGCCACAGAGGACGCCAGGGAAGTACACAGGAAGAGAGGTACCTCTGGGCGATTTGCGTGTTATAATTGCCTCCTGTGTTTACATCACTGCAGCTTGCTTCAAGGGGTTTCGCGTTTCCCCTGGCAGAATGTAATGATTATTTGTAATGATGACTTTTTTTTTTAAAAAAAGAGGCACTTTCCTTTAGAATGAACTTTTAAAAGTTCATTCTGTGAAATTAACACCCTGACCGTGCTAAAGGAAACCAGAGCGGTGTTTGTATTTAACGCCCCAGTTGTCCAAAATACAGCAAGGCTGGATATCAAGTACAGTAGTATGTATGAGTAGATAGGGGGAGGGGTGGGGGTGTTGGTACTTAAGGCTTGCTCTCTCTTTCGCCCCGTAAAGGATGGTGGTTTTGAAGCGCTTGTGGCGAGAGCTGTAGGTTTTACACGCGTTCTGAAAAAATGGTACCAGCTCATCACCATCCTCTGTTAAATCTGTCGGGACAGAAGGAACGTTGCAGTGAAAAGGGTCAATCGTCTCGGTCGTTAGTCGGCAGCAATAAGTGGGATATTTTCCAGTCCGCTAAACTGGGGTGAGTGCATAATTGAGAAAGTCGTGTTTGGAGACCTCCTACCTGTTTGTACACAGTTTTTAGTGCTCGGTGGTCTGCTCTACATATAGTAAAGTGAATATAATTATATTTCATTGGAAAAGTATCGTTTTACCACTTTATGTCTGTACTTCAGAAAGCAGAGAATTCCCGTGTGTGATCCTTATTCCGTGTGAATAAAGGGGAAAAGGTGGTTAATCATTTGGAAGATTCACTTGCCAGACATAAATGCCCCAAATCGCGTATATACTGTACCAGATATGTGCAAGACTTAAAAAACTGCTAACTAAATTTGAACTGTATGAACTTGAATGTTGACTATTGAATAAACGTCCGTGTGTTAATAAAGCTTTACAACCCAGAGTAAGAGGAATACTAGTGAATTCGTCAGGATATTACGCATGCAGGTGTAATTCTGAGTTCATGCCGAAATGAACACATTTGTAATGAACGGCAGAGCCTAGGTCTTATTTCCCCCGTTTTCTTTTCATAGACGATTGGAAGAGTGTAAAAGAATAATCGACGCAGAGGGACCGGAGGTCTTGAGCCGTTTTGATGCCAAAGGGTACACTCCTGCCCACTGGGCTGCCCTGAATGGGTTTTCTGACCTCATCCTGTGTTTCATTGAGTGCAAGGGCGCAGTTAATCTTTTCAGCCAAGCGGATTTGGCACTGAGACCAATTCACTGGGCAGCGGTGAACGGGCACATTGCAGTTGTCGATCTCTTGCTCCGGGCCGGAGTCCCGGTTGACTCGCCAGACCAAAGAGGATGCACTCCTTTGATTCTGGCAGCGCAGTTTGGGCACTCGGCCTTGTGCTGTTATCTCATGGGGAAAGGAGCCCGCCTGGACGCTTGTGACTGTGAAGGGGACAGTGCTGTGCACTGGGCTGCATTTAAAGGTAGGGATGTCACCTGCACTCCTATGATGTAAATTGTCACAGTCCTCGATTCACAAGTTAGACGTGGTGTGATTCAAAAACTGGATGTTGTTAATTGGCCACACCTTTTCTATTAGCTCACTGTTCCCTGCTTTTGCGTATTGGTGTTTTTTTTTTTTTGCTTTATTTTTTCAACTTTTCAAAAAAAAAAACTTTCAAGACGCTTTCTGTGTTCTCTGTCGCAGTTTTTAATCCGGAGCAGTCTAGGAAGATGTGAGCCACGGACTTGTGCAAGATGTTAAGAATAAAAATAATAGCCAGTGATGATTGTTGTATAATTACTGAGTTGTCTTCAAAACTGTATCACAGCCACTAGGGGTAAACTATGCATGAGTACCCAATATGGAGTGTCATATTAGGTTTGATTGGTAAATCCCATGGATTAGCTAACTGACTCATAGTCAGGTGCTCCTTGTCATTGACATCATTTTCTGCTTTCAGCACATTTATAATACTTCATGAACACCACTGCAAAATATGGATATATCATCTTAACTTTAGCTTTAAGTACTAAAACAACAATTTCTGCAGAAGATCACTTTGCAGTATCACTTTTCTGCATAAAGAACAAAAAACAAGTGAAAACTGTAGAAAAAAAAGTTATTCTTTGTGTCTGCTCTTGGCATGCTTGTTATTCTTAATCTCCCTGTTGCGTCTAATTAAACCGTAAAATGATCATATTTTCTTGAAATTCCTGCAGCCTAAGGTTGGTTTATTGGTTTTAAACTCACACCTGTCTCTCGACCCTTTAAGTGTGTCTCAATATTCAAAGCTAATTCTGCATTGAGAGCTGTCCAGACTAGGTCCCAACACAGAGCCCTGAGAAACGCCGGGCAGGCACTTGGTAATAGCGTCTGAAAGGATAAACTGGAGTTCTACTTCAATACACAGAGCTATGTGGCATTTCCAAACCATGCAGACATGGCAGTCTGTGTTTACACATTGTCTATCTGCTCTAAGTGCAAGCTATTTAAATCTAACTCTTCCAGGATCATTTTGATGGTGGCTTGTTTCTGTGCCCTCAAGTTTTAAGAACAGGCATTATTCTGAGCTATGAGACTGCATGTGACCCTTGTATTAAGACTATAATTAGAACTTCATTTTATCATTTGAGAAATTGTGCTAATGTACATTTGTGCCAGATAAGAAGGATTTGGAGATGCTGGGTTATGCCTTCATGGGTTCACGACTTGACGCCTACTGTAACTCTATTTGTAGATGAGCCAGACTGCAAGGCCTGCAGGCTCCTGCTTGTTCACATTGTTGCTGCTTGGCTGCTGACGGGCACCGGCTTTTCTCATCAAGTCACTGCAGTGCTGGGGTTTTGCATTGGTTACCTGTGCGTTTTCAAGTAGATTTAATGGAGTCAATTAAAATACATACAGTCCTTCATAGGTCAGGACCCATCTACCTTCAAGAGCTCCTTACCGCCTAGGTCCCAGACGGCTCACCGAGAAGAGAATGTGGGTTTACTGACTGTGCCCTGGCAGTGTTTAAAGTAATTTCTTTAAGTCTTTCAGCTGCTATAGCCTCTCTTTATGGAGTACCTTCCCAATTCACATCAGAAATGATCTAATAGCTATATAACCTCACTATTCTAAATATTATCTAGGACACTAGATTGTTTTAAAAGCAAATTGAAGGAATTCCCTTTTAGATGTGGATTAAACTTAATTAAAATTAAAAATTATTCTTGCACTGCCTTGCCTTTACTCTTGTTAAAGCACTGTGGGATGCCTATGTATGAAAAGGGCTACAATACCTAAGAATAGATTTGCTTTCTTTTTTTGGCTGTAAAGCAATAGATATTTATTTAAACAACGGATTATAAGAGTCTGGAGCTCTTCAGCCACAATTTTTAAGCTCAGCCTGAAATCACTTGATGTCAGCATAAGATTTTTAAGCTATTAGAGACCAAAAGACCAAATTGCCTCCTCTAGTTTGTAATATTCCCAGGTCCCAGATGGCTCATCGAGAAGAGAATGTGGGTTTACTGACTGTGCCCTGGCAGTGTTTAAAGTGATTTGGGCACAAGTCTTTCATCTGCTATGCCCTCCATTTCACATCAGAAACTAGTAACTACAGCATGAAACCTAACAGTTTTAACTTTTATCTAGGATATTAGATTGTTTTAAAGGCAGATTGAAGATTTATGTTTTAGATCTGTTTTTCTAATTCAATATAACTGGATTTGTTCATGCTTTTATTTTTATAAGGTGCTCTAGGATGCCTAGTCATGAAGAGTGCCGTGTAAGAAAAAACATTTTGATAAAATATCTAAGACTTTTGCACAGCAATATGTTTTACAAGTTTTTTTGTTTTTTTTTACCTTGTACACATCTTGCACAAGTAATGGATGTATCTTCATTGCTGACTGAAACATCTGTTAGCTTTGACCTGTTTTTATTTAATATATTGTCTTAAATCATTCTACATTATCATAACTTGTAAACATAAATTTAAATTTAAGAACCCCCTGCTGAAGCCAGGGCTTTATTAATAACCCCCAATCTGGAGGTTGTACTCCACGAAACCTGTAAAAAGAAGCAATATATGCAGTGTTTTACACTAAATGCAGACAGACAGATAATTGGTAGTAAGTGAACAAGTCTGCATTAACAATTCCATGAAAGTCTTCATAAAAGAAAGATGTTATTTACTTATTTCAGAAGTGTATGTTAGCATATCTGTATGTCCTTGAAAATACTTCAAATACTATTATCTTGAAAACAAATGCGCTGTCTTAGTCCGTAATCGAAAACGAAAGACTTTAGTGTGGGCATAGAACAGTAAAACTGTGAGTAATCATTTTTTAATTTAATGTATTATGTTAGTTTTTAGGGCTAATTCTTTAGTTATTTCTCTAATTGAGTTTTTGTCTTCCATAATCAGGCCATTGTGAACTGACTCGATTGCTAATCTACGCAGGACTCAGCCCTACACAACCAGATCATTTTGGCCAGGTAAGATCACATTCTTTGGGATATTTGTATTGGTTTTTAGGACTGGCGTTTGTGTCTGTTATTTTTTTAAATTCTGAATTTTAGGGTTTTTTATTTTTCATACCCAATAAACATTTCACTGTAGGAAAGATGTTAAATGTGTTGCTGCTCCAGAGATTGGTAGAAGGGAGTGTTGTACTACAAGAATCAGGATTTGCATTGCTGCTTGTTTTTCCCTATGAAATTAATTATTTAACATGTTTGTAAAACACTGCACAGGAAGTAACAAAACCAGAGGCCCAATAAAAAGTGGCTCATGTGAGATTCACTTTACTGTATGAGATATACTTTCCTTTATTTTGATCTACAAAGGAACCACACAGAGTTATGGAAAAATATTAAAACGGACGTTTGTCAAAAGGCTAGAAGGCTATTATTACACTCTTTCAGTTAAGTCAATCAAGACCTGGCCAATTCAGTGGGTATCTAGTTTAATCCTTCTTGTTGCACTGATTTTCACAGACGTTTGCTGTGGATGTTTGAAAAATTCCAGTTTACAATCCTGATACGACATTCTTAACAAAAGCCCTAAATTATACCCTTAGCGCAACTGCTTTTTGACAAGGTGAATTAACTATAGAAAAATACCATGAAAGAAAAAAGCATATTTTAACTGGAGATAGTACACTTCGAATGTGCCGTATCATTCATGCATTTCCACTAGGATGCAAATTCCGTTGTGTAATTTGTTGTGAAGCATTTGATTCTGCAAATTACAGAAGGAGGTTAGGAGTGTTGTAGCATCCTAAGTGGATCACTTCCCTTTGGTCATCAGGTTTAAAGCAAAAACAGTTCCTCCTGACCGTAATGCAGTCAGTTATCATCAGAGCTCCAGTGAATGAAAAGCAAGTACACCCAGTGGGCTCCCATAAGTAAACTGAGATCCGGAAGTGAGTAGGCAACATTATCTGTGAAACTTCAGCGCTAAATAAAGACCAAGCAAAATTTTGTCCTCAGTCTCTCCTTACAGCAGTGTTGGCATTAGATATGCCTGCGTCAGCTGACACCTTGGTCACTGGGCACTTCAAGGACTCATCTGTGCCATGTTTCCATCTGGATAGCTCAATACTGATTTGCATTTCTTGAATTGCATATGCAGAGTCCACAAATTACATGATTCTCCAGGCAGTTTCGGTTATAAAAGCATTCATTGTGTCCACTTGTGCCCTCTGATTCATATTTCACTGTTGATTCTGAATTTGATCTTTGAGTTTAATACTTTTGAAGATTCTGAATATTTGGATCATGTCCAATCATGGTCTTTTCTGTCCAAGCCTTAAAAAATGCAGTTACTGTATTTCAGCTCGTCCACGTAGGGCATTCTTTTAAGCCTGCAACTTTTGTTTGATTATTCTTCTTTGGGCCGAATCCAGAGCACTTGTTTCTAGAATATGGGAGATTTCCATGCAAAAAAATGTGAAATAATTTAGAAAACATTCTTCTGTGCTTAGTATGAAATCCTTCTTTGATTTTCTGTTTCAAGATTTGTTGCTATAGTTGTTAATAAAGTTATTTTTCTGCAATGCTGAAAGAGTCTGGCTGTGTTTATCGGAGTGAATAAAAGCACACGCACCACTGAAATGGAGCACAATGCAATTCTGCTTTCCTGCTGGTTACATTATTGGTTTCATACCACCTGAAGAGAGCATTAGCAATCTGTCATTTAGCAAAATACATGGAAAACGTTCTCATTTCTTTTCCCTATAAAGAGTACCTTCATTTTGTAAACCGAAATATGGTCCCTTAAACATAACTACAGCCAAATTTCCGTCCTAGTTTTAACATCGGGTGCACGTTGTACAAATTCTTGAAATACACTAATTATTTGATAAGACCAACTTTCTGGGAAGCCAAAATGTACAGTCCAGAAATATGCGAATCTGCCAAGGCTCTGTTGTTTTCACAAATCGCAAGGTACACCAGAGAGATGGGCAAATCAAGACTCTCCTGGGAGGTGACAATTTGTTTAGAAATAATATAATGCTTATTGCATGGAAGTCGGATATCTTGAACCGAGTTAACTTGGGGTATGTATGTCTCAACTCGCCCACAGCGATCTTTCTTTTATGGTAAACAGATTTAAGGCCACCTGAAAAAGTGGAATGTTTTGTTCAATTAATGGTTTAGACTCTGTTTTCACATTCCTTGTTACTTGTGCATGCTTTTATTTATTTTCTGGAGCTCAATTATGAATTGTTAATACGTGCAGATAAACTGCCAAGGTGTACTTTCTGAAAGAGAGTAAATCTCAGTGGACATTGATCACCCTTATTGATCACATTGATCACACCTGAAGAAGGCTCCACGGCCGAAACGTTGTGTTCTCTTTCTTCTTTTTTTCAGCATGGAATAAACCTATTACTTGTTCCTTTGCACCCTTAGGTGTGACTACCTTCCAACTGCCAATACAATAAAACATTGGTATTCATGAGGGTTAGGTACCTTGAAGTCTCCAGAAATGGTGAATTTGGTGAAAACGTAATACCTTATGGGGAAAAATTGGGTATGGCTCTGCGGCTCATGAAACAAGCATTTCCATAGTAATGGTCTTGTTTAATAACTGTTAACAGTTTCAGAATTAGGCTTGCTGTTTAAAACTGAAGCTCTTATTTCTAGCTTATTTGACTATCTTTTTGAAGATAAAGACAGGTGCTACTCAGTAGCTTCCTTTATAGTAGTGTGTCAATTTTTGAAAGATATAGTGTCTTGCAAAAGAATGCCACCACCCCCCCCATCCACAGGTTGTCAACACTGTGTCTAGGTAGTACGATACACCTTCCACTTCTTGATTGTTGACTTCATTGTGGTCACAGTCCTACAATTTGTCGTTTTAATTTGAGGCCAATAATAATAGAATCTCACACTGTTTCAGAATAAATGCACATACCTCTGTAAAGTAACTTTTAAGCCAAGATTCATAAAGATCAAGGCGTTTTCTAAACAATGGAGCGCAAAGTTGCTGAAGTGTAAGAGAAAGGTATATCATTTCACAGATGCTGAATAAAGTAAATGCGCACGTGAACTAATTTAGGTATTTGATGGCAAAAGGTTGACATTTTTTGCAATCAGTATTTTCTGTTAATAGCTTCTCATTTTTCTTTGCAGATTTCCGGTATGTAATGGCTTTCACCAATAAAAGAGTTCAGTTTCAACCTTCAAGTTTTGTTTAAATATATTCACTTTAAAGAAATGCATGTACACCCTTTGTAATTCAACAAAATGTGACCTTATTGGAATTAAGTGACTACTTTTGTGAGACACTGCATATTTTATGGCCGGTATGTTGAACATGAAACATGACAACACAGTGTTTCTACACCCACAGAATACAACGCAAGTCCTTCTTTATGGCAGGGGATTTTTGTACTGTTAATATATTTACACCAAATTAGAAATAAACTCTCTGTGAGGCCACATTTGCCCTTTTCTTAGGAGCATTGTTTAATCTAGATGCAGAGCTCGTGTGTCTGTGCATTTTCTTTTTTTGGCTAATTACGATGTAAAAGGTGTTCCTGCTAATAGCTTGTGATGTGGCAGAAGGAGCACTCTGCTGACGTGAACACTGCTCTCTTCCACAGACTCCTCTGCATCTGGCTGTTCTCAGTGGGGACTTGCTTACCGTGCAGCTGCTGTGTGAACAGGTCAGTAGAGCCGTCTGTGGGCCTTCATGCCTGCTGCTCCATACCTGCACAGACGGAAAAAATAACCTTGAAGAATTACCAGTTTAAGACCTACTGTATGGACACATTTACTTGTTGCAGTCTTTTTTCCCCCCTCTCTCGAACTTGAAAAAAATGAAGCTGGTTATTTTGAAACTGGGGGGGGTTGCTGACCAATAGACAATATTTTGCTGATTGGGATGGGGGATAGGGAGGTGGGAATGATTTTGTTGTTCATTAAAACGACACTGATGCGTTTTTTTAAAACTGCGTGAATGCCACTCGTAAGGGAAGAGTAAAAGTACAGCTACAGTAGACACTTGCCTTGCAGCTGAACTTAACGGTTTGTTTAAGATCGTTCTCAAACCAAATCCGATCTATTCATCTACCTGTATGAAGCAGCTGTTTCGTGTTTAGCTGGTAAACCTTCTACGTCCTGCATCCACCACAACTGACCACTGAATCCCACTGGATTCCATTATTGGATTTTTCTAATTAATGATTGATCACATTGATATAGCACTTTACATGTAGAGACCCGGTTCTTCCAGCACCAGACTCCTCCATTAGAGCAGTGCTTTGATATTTTTAATGACCTACTAGTCAGGATCTTGGTTTAACATCTTATCCAAAGGACAGCGCCTTATGCCTCACAGTGCCTCCCGATCACCACACTGGGGGGTTGTGTCCTTTTGGAAATGCTGGTCCAGAGGAAGAATTGGCGTCTAATATTCCTCCAGCTCCTCTTGCACCAGGAACCACCTTTTGCATTGAAGGACTTTCATCCAGGTACAGAGCAGGTGTAGCTTCTCTTGAATTCTGAGATCTGGCTTGAGGCTACAAAGCTGCTGTTTTGAACAGTTGGATTCATAATTAATTATATCCATCCAGTGCAATTCCAGAGATTTTTACTTTATTCTGGGCATTCATCTTCAACATCAGTTTCCAATAAATAAAAAAAATAGAAAATGAAAAGGAGAAAAATCTCTTCGTCTTGGATAGAGTTGGTGAAGATTGTTTTTGAATACATACGATTTGAAGGATTTTTTATTTCCTGACCGATCAAATCTCTTTCAATGCCAGGCCAGCTAAAACAACTTCCTTTTTAAAAAAAAAAAAAGTTCTAGAGTATTCAGCAATCTGTATTTGAACATTTTGGCACACGTCTGTACTTCAGTTTTTATTGAGGTTTCTCTGTTCGTATGGAGAGTCAAGCTTTTTTTCAGATGTCTGACTTAATTGCTGTAACTTGAGTTGATGCAGGAAGCAGAAGAGCAGATTGTGTGCGCGTGCTACAGATCGTTCTCTCCACACTATGTGCTAATTAGTTTAGACCTCTGTGGAGATTCTCACCACTGATGCGGCTGGACAACCTGTTTACCTCCTCTTGCATTCCGACATTGTATGGCTGTTTTTAGAATAATGCGGAAGGGTATTTATCCGTGGAGCCATGTGAACCAAAAAAAAGAGATACAAGTCCTTTTTTGTGCCATTTTCTTCATAGCAGTTTAAAACTTCTTTGTGTTTTATAAATATTTTTGGGGAGGAAGTTTTTTCATTTGAAGGACAAAGGCGCATTTTATTCAAATGCACATCTAATGGAGTAATCGGTTACTTTATCACATTTCTTTTAATTATTGCACTGAGAAGATGAATGTAATTTCAGTTGCATAAGATTATATTGATAAGTTCTTGTGAAGAATATGAACTTAAAAACACATTTGTTGGGGATGTAATTTGTTCTTTTAGTCAAAGTCAACATATCGAGAATATAGACAGAGTTTGTAGATGTGTAATAAAAAATGTGTATGAAAACCTCTAAAGGACTCAGAAATTATGTTAGGAAAATCTATACAGAATACAGGTCAGACACAATAAATTATGATTCTTCTATGTTAAGGCATGCACAAGACTAAACCCTTCAAATGAAATTAATGAATACTAACGTTTTTATGGATTGCTTTTAATAAATAATGAGGGATGTAATGTATATGTAAGTTTTTTTGAAGTTGCAGATGTATCTGTTTTTTTCCCCTTGTGAGATATCACATCATCTTTATGCATAACTGTTTTATGTTACAGGATGGCGTAGAATTGGAAACCCAAGATAAAAATGGCTATTCCCCACTGAAGCTGTCCAGGGTTCGAAAACATTATGAATTGTCAGAGTATTTAGAAAACCTTAGAAAGCAATCGAGGCGCCTTGTCCCAAAGTTTGACTGGAGGTAGGTTTTCTTAAACACTTTTTAGAGTTTCTAACCTTAAGATTCTTTCTATTGAAATATGACATGGACAGTTTGATATCCAAATTCAAAGAGAAAAACTGTATAGTCTGTCAACACACAAGGTCTGAAGGATATTTCCTTGGGAGAAACTTTGCCTGGTGTATAAAGCATTTTGACATTTTGAATTGTCATACAATGGGGTCATGATAAAGATAACCTTGCATTTTACCTGTGCTCTGAAGGCTACCAGTGTTCAGCAGTTCAGCAGTGCAGTATGTCTGTGGTTCTTGAATTATACAAACTGGATTGTGATCATCTGTAAGGTAATTCATCGGTTTGTGCTTATAAGGTATAAAATCTGAATCATTAATAGATTGGTTGAGGCTATCTAAGAGGATATGAATAATCTGACTGCCGACCTTTGTGATTTGCACTTGTCTCTCTCCATTCTGAAGCTTATACTGTGACCTTTTCAATAATCCTGTAGATAATAAAACATTCACCCAAATGCTTCCTTAAGACAGGTTAGATGCCAAGATGTCATTTACCCGAGTTCAAAAGTGTTATTTTGGTAGCCCGTTGGAAAATTTCCCGAAAGTTGACAACCTGTCGCAGAGCTGAAATGGCATTGCTGAATGTTGTGAAACACACACCCATCTCCTCCAATTCGCTTTCTGTCTTTCCAATGTTACAGTTGTTCTTGTCATGTTGACTTTGTTATGCTGGAAACTAAATTTGCTTTCCCACGCAGCTTTGAAGAGCCTTTGCAGAGTCTGTATTGCAATTGAAAATATGGACGTTGATAAGAGGTAGCCATTGTTTCATCTGTTGGGTTGCTAGTGGTTAATAGATTACAGGATCTCATGGTACAGTAACAAAGGTATTGGATTCCAAAATGTGGCTTAGTAGCTTGTTCCATACTCTCGCAACTCTTTGTGTAAAGGTTCTCCATTTAAACATGTAAATGAGCCTCCTATTATCTTAAAAGCTTTTACTGGAATAGCTGCAAGTAGTAGAGAGCACTCAGAACATGTAATCCAATTAGCAGGAAATAAGCAAATAGCAGGAAATTGTTGATGCTGCTGTACTTATACTGAAGTGTCCTGGTAGCAGGATCTTTACTTTTTGAATAGTACTAGTGCATTCTGAGGAGTAACACGCTGGCACATTACTGCCTCAAAGAGCTGGGGCCCTGGGTTCAATTCTGGACTGTCGGTGTGGAGGTCTGTGTCGGTATCTGTCAGCTCTGTGATGGCCTGGGTTTATGTGTCCTGTCTTGAACCTGTTTTTTGCTGGGACGGACCCTGGCTCCCCCAGCACCCTGAATTTGGAAGAAACGGTTAGATAATGGATGGAATTATAGTGCTTTCAGAACATAAATATTGTAAGTTGTTCCTCAAAGTGTTACTATATTATGTAAAGTAGTTTAGTGTATCTTTCACTATTTTGGAGAAGTGCACAAATTACCCCAGGTTTTTGAAACTTTTCTTGCTTTAAATTATCCATGGTGCGTTGCTTCACCCCAATTTGGTCTCTGTTATGAAGACCACAGTCACCTTTTACCTTGAATTAAGGGAGGTTATGTTCAAATGCAAATAGGTACCTGTAGTTTCTATGCTCTACTTACAGTATAATGCAGATAAATCTGTTATCAGCTACCCTTTTCACATTTTTGCTGATCACAACTTTTGGCACAATACTCCTGCGGGGATCAAAGTTAATTCGAGTGTCCTCTAGTGACAGAAGTCCTGCAGCCATGAACAAAAGGTGTGCTTTAGGGCAACAGATTTCGATGTGTCAATTTAATTATCAGTTCAAATTATGAACTGCACTACATGTAGCCTTAACAAACTAAGCCAAGTCTTTTATTTCGTTTCGCACCAGTTTTAATGTGCAGCATGAAATAAATAAAGAGGGAAAAAAAGGTAACAAAACATTTCAGCTGTGAAGCCTTCACGGCCAGAAACGTTGTTTCTTTTCTTCTCTTTTCAGCATAGAATAAACCTTTAACATGTTCCTTTGCAGCCTACGCATGCTGACGTAGCTACCTACTTGATATAGGTATTATATGACAATTGTGCTATTACATGAGCACATAAAGTATGTGAGAATTACTAAGTCATAATTATGAGAATTTTCTCGTAATTACAAGATAAGGATGAGGATTTTTTTTCCTTGGTGGCAGCAATACGCTTCTGCAGATGAGAGACTAACTAAGAATAGCACAAATAATCCACAGAATTTTAAAATGAGTTGTAGATATTGTAATTTCGGGTTCTGTGAAGAGAAACTTCTTAAAGACTTAATGAACTGGAAAGTGACAACAAATGTTAAAAGCAATTGAAAATGTACTTTGAGAGACTGCAGACATTTACGAACCATCATCCTTACAATAGTTTGTTTTACCTAGTTGTTAGATTTCTCAGAAGTGGTTGACTACAAAGACAATTCATTACTTTGCAGAGACAGTTAAACCTGAGACTGTTTCTCAGAATTCAACAACGCTTCCACAAACAAGTGCTCTCTTTGGTGGCGATAGTTCAGCCAGTGTATCGCTGTGAAGAAGCTATTTGGTCTCTTGCAACTCTACGATGATTTGTAAAGTGAATAATGAACTCTCAAACACATTTTAGAAATGAGTCTTGAATCAATTCAATTGTTATTGAATTGTAGCTCGGGGCTTTTTGATGTGCGAGTGAGCTATAGCAAATGGGATCTCCCAAGCTTTTGTGAGGTAATTTTAAATAACATGAGTTACAATTTGGAAAGTTTCGTTGTGTGTGGCTTAACAGGAGAAAGCCTTCCTGGGGGCCGTTTTTGTTGCTAACCTTTTCTATGACAGATGGGTGACCTCTGATCTGCCAACGTTTCTCCCTCCATGCAGACTGACTGTCCCAAAAGCAGACACACGTGTTCTGTATTAACCTCTGGAATCTGTCCCCCCCTGCTGGAAATTCCACCTTCGTCTCCTCTGAGAATATGCCATATAAAACAAATAATAATCACCCTGCAAATCTGGTTATATAATGCTTGTCAGAGTTCAGGACATTTTTTTTTCTCCCTAGAGATTAGTTGGGTCCTTTTTTCTGAGAAGGACAATGCAGACAAAAACGCACACCGGGAGAGTTTTCATTTTTGTTCAGAGACGCAGTGCTGTAAATAGATTGCCACGTGAGCAGGTTGCCAAAATCGTCCTTGGCAGTGGCTGTTAATGACGGATAAATATAAACGTGCACTCACACTACCTCCGTATCAAGCCCGACGGGTCAACTGGGATGATGTTTAGAAGGAGCCGTGCCATAGTGCAAAAGAGGAGATAATCAATGAATGACTTAAAAGATGTGTGTGGGGGGTTTTGACACGCACATGATGACTCAGTTCCTTCAAAAGGCAATTTTTCAGCACGAATGAACTATTAACACCCCAGTAGGCAAAAAGGATCATTATTGCCTTTCAACTTATTGAAAAGCGGTATATTCTAACAAACCTTCCACCATGTGAGTAACATTATTGTAGTGTTTTTTTTTTTGTAGAACATGCGATGGCTAATAATTTTTCCTTCTATATCCCTCCATTGTGAAATGGCCAATTGTAATTCCTAAAATGGGAAACTATAAATCGCCTCTGCTGATAACACCAATATCCTTGTTCCATTGTTGGGGGAGGGCAAGGATCTTGTACAATGCCTCTGGAAATACAGGAGTAAGGCGGCTCTCTCTAATCGCGATCAACCTGGAAAATCATGGCCACAGTGAACTAAACGACATAGTCCAGATTGGAACTGGACACATCTGTCCCACAGAGATCAATGTGTGCTCCAAACACCTCTCTTTCCTCATTGAACAATTCTGGACCCTGTGGTGATAGCATTAGTAGCTAAAAATGGGTTCCAGAATTGCTTTAGAAGCCCACTTGAAACAAAGTAAATCAAAACATGAAATACTAACAATTACTGTACGTGCAGTATAGCTGTGAATACATTCATAACCTGAATGTAAAATCAGCTACAGTAGTTTCAGTATCGTTGAAACAACAATAAGCATTAATTATATGTACCATTAACCAAAAAGGAGATGCTTATGCTAACTTCCTTAGTTGGATTAGAGTGCTTTTCTGTGATAAGCCTACAAATGTCAGGAACAGAGAGTGAAAGATTGGAGGTGCTATTGAGACACTAGATAACCCAGCAGGGAGGCTAAAAAAGATTGTTTTATTCCACTATACATTGTCCTCATAGTGTGGTGTGTTCATTTTCTAGAGGAATATAGTATTATAAGATATTTTTTCTGTCTTCCAGTACTTTGGTATTTGGCCCACCTGAGAAATCAAAAGGTCCAATACTTTTCTTGTACGGCTGTTTGCTTCTATGGGGATACCCTACCTACTTTCTAAAGGTGAGGCCGTGTTAACTGTAGAAGTCGGTTCAAAGCTAAAAATAGTGTGGTACACACAAATGATCATTTGTTACGTTGGCTGTTTAAGCTGGTCTACTAATTTGTAATAGTTGTGAGCTATAGCATGCACAGGCTAAAAAGGGATACCTTAAAAAAAAAGCACTGGCAGGAAATATCGAAATTCAGATTTTTAACTTGACCCTTTTGGGACATTGAGAATTTGATTTGTTCATATGTTCCAACTAGTACTTCTGCTGGTCATTAAATCTAAAACTTAGATCGAACTCGCTGTCTTTTGAAGCATTGGCTGCATCAGTAATCCAGTTGGGGGAGCCTCTCACGCTGGTGTAAATGTGCGATTCAGGGCTATCAGTTTACATGTATTCCTTTTGCCAAAGCCATTAGTTCGACCCTAATGAGTGAAATTGCCCTCTGTTCCACTGTGCAGATTGTTTCTGTCTCCTTTAACAAGCTGTGGGAGTTTCATATGGCCTTCCTGCTTGGCAATGCCCTGATGTGGTTTCTCTTCCTGAAAGCTTCTCTGATGGATCCGGGTTTTCTTCCCAGAGACAGTAAGGAATACAATCGGGCCATTAGACAGGTAGAGAACCTATCTTCCTCTCCTGGGATACAGACACTGAGGTACAGAGAGAGAACTACATGCATGTAGGCACACACGCTCCATTTTAAACGCCAATAATTGCACATTATGCACATATAACAGTTTATTGATTTGAAATCAATCTGTTCTGTTTGGAGAACAAACTAGAACAGAACAAAAAATGGGGAGGGGGAGAACTAAAAAAATATATTTGAATGATGCCATAATGCACTTCAATGTAACACGGTCACAGTGCATAATTCGAAGTTTTTGATAAGAAACGATGCACACTCGCTTATTTGTCACTTACTTTATTTGTGGCTGCGAGCTCAGTTGATGCATGTTTTTCCAATATCAAATACTGTGTGAACAATATCATTTAATTTCCAATACATTTTTGGAGGCTTTAGTTTAGATGTTTTTAGATGTCTATGTTTAAAAAACGTAAGCTGCTAGCCTCAGACATAACTAAAAATGCATGAAAGAGCAGAGGTAATAACATAAAATGAATGAGAATAATTTTGTACATGTTAAACTGTACATTTTATTGTTTAAAGCTAGTCCTTTCTGGGAAATTCTGTGTAATTCTAATAAACTAAGGTTAGTCAGAACTGAGCAGAAGTGCAGATCTGCTTTTCATCCTTATGAAGTGTCAAGATTCGCTATAAATTGGTTTTGATAAAGACTTTAAGTGCCCTGTTTTATTTTTAAACTATTCTGTGCTTCTTTTTATCTTGTCACGTAGAAAAATAAGTGCAGCTTGACTTAATATTTTATGTAACAAAACAGATTGTATCCTTTTATTCTTTATAATCTGTGCTTTCTGTTAAGGCCAGTGGCTTGACCATGTAAAATATAAAGAATCCCAGTTTATATAAATATTGTAACATGTAATCAGTAATGAATTAGGATCATTCTGTGGGTCATATACTGTAGGTACTACTGTCTACTGCAAGGTCTCCTAACATGAGTAATTTAAAAATAGAATAATATGACTAATGTAGATAAGAACAAGCCACTGTCTTCCAATAGAAATGGAACATATGATCGCTGTAATGATCAGAATGGTCACTGGACTGGATGATTGTGCTGATTATTACAAAAGCTTCAATACTTAAGTGGGTTTGCTGATAGCAGTTGGACTGACCTTTACTTAAATGTTTTATTAAATATTACTCTACTTTGATGAATGATTATTAAAAAGAAATTGGACTGTTTTTGTTACTGTTACTGAAATTCATGACTGTCAGTTTTTATCTCAATATGTTGATTATCTGAGTATTTTTTTTCTTCAGCAATGTATTTGTTATTTGTCTGTGTATTTTTTCTGTTTTATAGAGGGTGTAGATCTGTAGTCCTAGCGAACTCTCTGCTGTGGACTTTCTCTCAGTTGCTCTTGGTGTCCTTGCAGGCGGTGCACTTTGAAGAGTGGAAAGGGGGTAGGAACCCCCTAGAGAGACTGTGCCACACCTGTCACATTGTAAAGCCCTTTCGCACGAAGCACTGCCGCGTCACCAACCGCTGCGTGGAGCAGTTCGATCACTACTGCCCTTACATCTATAACGACGTGGGCCGCAGAAACAGGTGCCTTTTCTACCGGGATCATTTGGTTGTTGTTTTTTTTTAGAATAATTGCATGGCAGTTTTTGATCTTTTTGGTCTCCTCTTCAAAGACGTTCCTCTGATCGTTTTTCATGGCTCGCACTTCAGTGAAAAAGTCGGACGCTAAAGCCAGCATTTTATCAAAAATTCCAATCCACCACATCACTTAGAAAAAACGCTTGTCCGATTCGGGGGTCAATGTGGCCCAGACCTGATCCCGGGAAGCATTGGATTCATGGTGGGATACACTCTGGACAGGCACACATAGACAAAAACACAAACTCGCACCGGATGTCAATTTTTTCCCATTTCCAGTTCACCTCCCAGAATACCTTTAGACTTCCTCCGGAAGAGACTGGAGCACTCAGAGGACACCCGTTCAGATGTGGGGACAATGTGAAAACTCCACACTGATAACACACCCCAGGAATTGAACCCAGGACCCCCGCGCTGTGAGGCAGCAATGCTAACCTCTGCGCCACTGTGATGTCCTCCAATTTAAAATAACGTACATTAAAATTCTGTTACTTGATTTTAAGTTTGCCATTGGCCGGCCTACTTCTTCCTAGCAAAAACCCTCCTGAAAACATTTCTTCCTTCATTCACATGCACTGTACAATATTTTAAAAACAGATCCAGTATTAAGGAATAAGGATACTGTGATGTAAAATCAAAATTTATTGAGGGTATTAATAACACTTAATTCTTAGCCCATTTCCTTCAATTATTGGTGTTAATTCTGAATTTTCTGTGCTGTATAGTCTATACAGAAATATTAAATCTGTTGTGTTCTTTTCTTTTAGGACTTACTTCTTGGGGTTCCTGAGTACCATGAGCATCAATTGTTTCTTGGGAGTTTATATTTGCTGGGACTGGTTCCATGTAATGGGCCGCAGCATTTTTGTAGGAGCTGGCTTCATCTTTATGGCAGCGATAGGGGTCATTTCTGGCTTAATGGCAATCGCTTGTGTAAGTACGCCACACGCAAGTGAATCAGATGTCCCTTTAAGGATATTAAGGTAGTTTCTGAACTGAACTGCCCTCTTGTGGATCCATGTAGTACTGGGTGTTAGATCGCATTTGTTAGCCTTCTCAGAACTACAGTACTGCTCACACCAAGAGTTATAAACAGAGCAGCCAAAATCGGAAGATCTAAAAAAATAGCAAATATATTGTACTGTATGATACTAATTTGAGAGGCACTCATCTGTGTTCTCCACACAGCACTGAATGTAGTAGTTTTGCTCTTGTACGTCTTAAAATCACATACACTATATTGATCACCATGGTTACTATAGCCTGTTAACTAATGTACAATATTAACAACCATATTATAATATGTGTCATTCTCTTCATCTTATTTGTTTAGGGGATACATTTGTGGTATCAGCTATTTTTAAAGGAACCTCCTATTATATCCTGGTGTAAGCTAGCTGCTTCGTAAAAAATATGGGCTAATTCTAGCTCTTCACAGAAAATCAGGCTTTACTACATTTGCTACATTTTCACAATATTCAGTTTCAGTAAGACATTTTTATCAGTCAGTATTCGGTATTTCCCTGTGACCTTCTGTTAAACTATAAATAAGATTACTTATGTCTGAAACAAAACACATTTTTAAAAATATTTGAGTTGTAGTACTGTAGATATTTATTAAACTTTTTTAGAGATTTTTATAGCATGACCCCATGTCATTTTAGATATTAATAACTTTGTTGTTCACTGAGGCTTAGGGCTATGGTTTTATGTAATCGTCATGCTTTAAATTGCCTGTGAATGTTATGTAAGGCAGCTGATTTAAGCCGCCTGCTAGTCGGGAAATTACTTTAGAATGATATTGCAGATTTGTTTAGTTTACTGTACACTATCTGTGCCTATTATTACATTTCAGGTTAACTACAGAGACCTAATAGAAATTTTGAATGTTAAAGCCATGAAGCCAAGAGAATTTTTAGTTTCATACTAAAGTACTATTTTTATTAAATATCAATATTCCAATTAATACACATGAAATGGTAGCAAATGTTTGATATACCTGTACTGGCACAATAAAACGTTTTGTAATAAATGTAAATGTGTTTAGGGGGTTAACTTTGTGAGTGCAGTATGCCAGATGTTCTGCAAAATAACAAAGTAACAAACATGATCACATGAGTTCATTGGACCAAGAACATCTGTAATCAAACTTTTTGTGGAGGAATTGTAGAAAAAAGCGCTTCATCTGTTTATATTTTACCTTCTACAGAGTATTAAAATTAGATAAATATTGCCCTATATTGGTGTTAAAGCATTTTGGACCTTTGATGGTAACAAATGGAGGACAAAGAGTAATTCATTAAAGGAACAGTTTCATGACAAACGCTTGCTTCATCGGACACCCAGACTGTATTACGTCATCCAGCAATGGATGAAGGCTGTTGTTCATTTTCGGGACGGTAAAACAGTCTAGATTGAGTAAAAAATAAAAAGTACGTTTGAATGAATCATGAGTTCTAGCTGTCAGAGCAAAGGTCGTCTGTTACATGAAAGTTTTACAAGCATAAGTCTCGTCTGACTAGAGTTTAAAACATCTAGA